AGGAGCTCAGCATGGATCTAAAAAGCAAATCACTGGCTTAAACACGTCAGGAAAGCCACTTGGAGCCATTTCAAGCTGCTACAGATCCCAAATCACCTGTTCATTAAATCTAAGGCGCATGGTGGAGTTCTGTTCATTTAAAACTCACCAAGATCAGGAAGAGAACACAAACTATCACCTGCTGCAGAGAAACCATAAGTCAGGATGGTCAAGAATCACCAAAAAGCAGGTCTGCAGTGACTTAGAAGCTGCTGGAACACAGGTGTCAGTGTCCACCATGTGTTTTACATCACCATGGGCTGGGAGGCTGCCATGCAAGAAGGAAGTCTTCCCTCCAGAACAGCACCTGAAAGCTTGACTGAAGTTTGCTGCTGATCACATGGACTAAGAAAAGGCCTTCTGGAGGAAAGTGCTGTGGTCAGATACAACACACATTTAGCTATTTGGCCACAATGACCAGAAATATGTTTGAAGGAGAGAAGGTGAAGCCTTTAACAACAAGAACACCAAACCTACCAGCTAGCATGGGGGTGACAGCATCATGCTCTGGGGCTGGTGGGCTGCCAGTGGACCTGGTGCTTTACACAACGTAGGACAATGAAGGAGGAGGATGACCTCCACATCATCAGACAGAAGGTTGGGTCTTGGAGGACTTTAGGTTGTAGACTGGCCTTTCCAAAGTCCTGACCTAAACCCCATCAAGACCCTGTGGACTCTGATGAAGAAGAAGCCTGCCAGACTGCTTCTGTATGCTCATTAACATAATGCTCTGAGATTTGTGCTGTTGGATGTTGTCAGGTGTGACGACGACCAATGACATCCTCACTTCACTTCTTTCTGTGCCCCTTACAAACAGTTCCTCTGTAACTGGGTTCATCCACTCTGATCCTTTAGGACTTAATATATTTACTTCATTTGTTTCCTCCTTGGACTTTTGGAGTCAATACATCTGCCATTGTCTAAAGTTTTGACTGTAATAGCAGCATATAGCAGTGACCCCGTAGCACTTTAGATTCTCATCGCTTCACTGGAGGAGAAAATGAGGTCAGTCAGGTTTGTTTTTTTTACACCGTCCTACAGAGGCTGGTACCGTTTAAGTGGGTTCAGAAAGTCACTGCCAGTGTGGAATAGCCAAATGTAAGACCTCAAGTCAGTGTTTTGTTTTCATTACTTTCCTTGCGTTTCATCTGTAAAGGCATGTTTGGAGCTATGACTGGGATACGTGTTAAGTACACATCATAAGGCCTGTGGAGTGGGTGTGGACGCTACACAGCATGAGCCAGTACAGGACGCTCTATGAAGTAAAGCGAGCCTCACATTGGATGCATTAGTCAGAACCAGAGCTGATATTCTGTTGGTTGGGGACTTGTGCCAGGATTGTTTCACAAAGAGCACAAATCAGACCGTAAAAGTTTCATGAATGTACAGAAGCAGTTTGGGACGGAGGAGATGCGATCACACTGAAGCACAGGAGACGTCTGCAGCAAAGGAAGTAACTCCATAGCATAGCATCATCTATTATTTCTGTTTTCTTTTCCAGAGCTGAACAATGGGCTCAGCAGCACAGAGGAGCTCTCTCTGTATCCAGAGAACGGTTACGCGAGATACTCTCACGGAGGCCTCAGTCGCTGAACACATCACACAGCTGGAAGATCCCGGATGCTGGTTTGACCTCAGAGCTCGGACCCAGACTGGACGTTATTTCCTCGTCAGAGAAACCAGGAGCAGGATTCTGATCCGTTAGTCAGCTGACTGAGTGCGTAGACGTCTGACGGTGAACGTTTCTACTGTATGGCCTGTTGCTGTTTTAATGAAATGTTCAAACATACGTGTCCGCTGTCTTTTCTTCAGCAGTCTGTCATCATGTCACGACTTCAAAGTGTGTTTTTAACTTCACATACTTCCCACCGTTGTGTGTCGTCACATTCCTCTAACGTAGCTCCCTGTGTACAGTAAAGGCTGCTGTAAGAATAAAAACGTTTCTTACCTTTTATATAGTCGTAGCAGTAGTAGGACGTCAGGATCACCCTGTGGCGGTGTGTGCCCGTGGTGTCGTCACCTCCGGCCTCAGAACCAGACACTCATTCAGCAGTCGTCTCTGTGGCGTCCATGCATTTACCGTCACTATGACTAGGTCGCCGTGGTAACGTGTGTGTGGTTAATGGGCCAAAACCAGTTTTGTTTGAGCCGATGAAGCCGTGCTGTTGCATTTCTCCACATCACTCACTACGCTGTTGTTTTATAACAGAGGAAAGGGGCTGCGGAGAGCTCTTTGTTATGAACTGATGTACATACGAGTTATTTTACATGGTTGTGTTTCTTCCCCTCTGAGAGGATTTTCAGTGGTTTGAATTGTATATTTAATGTTTGCGTTTATTATTACTACGTCCTCTTTAAGTGTGACAGGTTAGGGCACAAATCAAAACCTTTCTCGCAGTATCCTGAGGTGTTCTGCAGGTCTGTATGTTACTGTCAGTGTTCTCATCCTTTTTTCTGCCTCTCCTCTGTCATGCCATGATTGTTTTACTCCGTAGTCATTTAGCTAATAAAACTTTCACATGGCTGCCTTCTC